CAAGGTGCCAACTGCTCACCAGAATGGAAACTAATGCTAACTGCTAGGCTAATTATTAGCTAATAGTTGAAAAGACAACCACATTTTGAAAATGGTTGAAACAACAGTGCTATCATAACAGTATCATAATTATAGTATGATTATATAATGATACTACAGGTCCAGTACATTATTGTGGTTTTTGTAGCCGTGGTACGTACAGTTACAGTAATATTCTTACCATTTCATAGTCAGGGCACACATTTCTCGACTTCAAACTGGAAACCAGTTGGGCTAATGAAGCCATGCTGGAACACATGTAGGAAAAGAAAGGAAGATGTTACACTCTAGCTGTAAAACAAGTCTCACAATGGACAGAAAGTAGGGTCTATGGACTTTATGTGAACAGTCACACAATGCAATGCTCTGTATATTATAGACAATTACAGCTTTGCAACCCTTCATCTGTCTGTGATCATGCAAAATAGATTAAAACATGTCAGAAATCTCAGTTTACTGCTCACCACAGAGTAAACTACTGAGAACTACTGTGTGCTTTTGTTGCAGCTGTCCGAGCTGGGTGTGTTCCACCTTTTATCACCGAACACTTTTTGACACAGACTATGAAAGGCACAGGTGCTATTAGCAACATTAGGTGTCTGATCTCATTCACTCCCCTCTACATCATAAACACGCAGTAGTTCACTCTGTAGTGAGCAGGAAATTGAGATTTCAGATTCTCCCTAATAATTGTCCGTCTGTAACATCCACATTTACTTTTCTTGGTACTGCAAGTCAAAATGTCTGCTGTGAAAAATGTCTTTAGGTAGATTGGTGTTTTGCACCAACACACAGTCCTGACTGAAAGTGTTAACGTAAGCCAGAGAAGACAGCAGCTGTTTTCACAGGAGCACTATCCCCAAAGATAAGTAAAAACTGTAGAAGAAATCAGTGGAGTGCTCCTTTAATAGTGACATTAACTTGAAATCTGTTTCAGAAACTTTACCCAGGGTTGCTGGCCCAGCGTCTAACTGTCTCTTCTCCATCATCCTCCAGCAGATCAGCAAACGCTGCTTCCAGGTCTTCTAACTGATGTACACGATGGTCCACACACTCATCAAGCTCCTCCTGGACACACACACATAATATGTGTGAATATTTAAACAAACTCATTTACCACAAAAAACCCCACCAGAGCTTCAACTGCTTGTGCTTCTAAAGTTAGTGCTGAGAGTGAGTCTATCTGTATGTACAATTAGACTGGCGGGTCTGGGGTTCTGCTTCAGAGGATTACACTTAGACACTCTGTGGAATTATTTAAAACTCCCCTTAATGCTCCAACTCATGCAGAGTCACATTTTAAGTTTGAGATTCTTCTAAAGTATCTACGGTTTAAACAGTGCTTACTCACGTGGACTGTAAATTACATTCTCAATCACTCACCCCTGGTCCTGCGAGGCTATAATTTCATGCAGACACTGACTGCAGTGTGTATATGTGCACACAAGCATACAGTCCTCACAGATCCATCATTGTTTGCATATGTGTTCAACCACACGTGTGTCTCTGGTCCTACTCTGTGTTTGTGTGTAAGAGGGTTGTAATCTTTGGTTGAAAACAAAAGGTCTGACCTGATCAGCATCAGGGCTGGGTCCTCTGAAGTTGTAGAGCTCCTTAAGGATGGTGTACTCTTCCTTGACACAAAGACAAACATGGAGCTGAGGTCAACTCAAGGAAACATGTTTTACTGTGTTGCACTTAAACTACAGAGGGATCTTTATGTAGATGCACATAGTCTGATATGTAAAGTAGCATATTGATCGTACTTCAGGTTGCTGTCTTTGAGCAGAATGGGACACACGAGTGAAAGACTGGATCCTGTGTTAAGTAAAAATGTGAATTTGGGCATAATATGGTCAGGCTCATACACTTGTATTAAATAATTCTTAAACCTAATCAAAACCTGTAAAATTCTCTAGATCAATTTCATTAGTCTTTAAATGAATTTCATTGTATCTATGACATCATCTGAGCATGTGATGTCATGAGAAGTAAAATAATAGTATTGGATTCCTGTGACATTAACTATATGTTTAAGATAAATGGGTTAAAAAGGTGTCTTCTGGAAGACATTTTTACCAGAACTGTAGCTTTCTGTTGTTTTGTAAAACAACCAGCTGTGTTTGGAGGATCTGTCATGTCCACAAGTTTTCTCCACATGGAACAATGCATGACAATACATAATAAGGTGCTACTTCTCCCCAAATGGGATCAAAAAATACAGGCTTAATTTACTACTGTGTATACAACTATTAGCTTAAATTGCAAACATTTGCCAAACATGATCAAACACAACAATTAGTTGTTCACTGCCTTGCTCAATATACTAGTATGTACAGAGTAGGAGCTTGGAGATCAGAACACTAATCCTTTAATCAATGCCTGACCCACTCTACCACCTGAGCTACAGCCCCTTAAATCACTAATGTACACTAACCAAGCCCCAGAAAACATGAACAATGCCTTGAAGACCTGTCCATCTCTTTGAGGGTGATACTCTATCCGGTTCCAGCTCATTTTTGTGGCAGCAGTCCTTTGTTTCTATTAGAATAATGGAATTTTCCTTTAAAAACCCCCATGGACTCTTCACTTTCTGGATATGATGTGTTTCCTGTGGTTGAAACAGACCATTCAAACTCTAGTCTAATGGTAATTTCCTGTTTTTCAGGAAGTTAAAATCTGTTACAAAGTGGTTCCAATCAAGGACAATATTTTTAAACAAGTGTAAAATATCAGTTGGCTGAAAGAATTCTCTGCATTTGTAGATGGTTGATTATATGATTGAAGTTTTAAAGTGTATTACATGTTCCTAAATTAGCACACCTGAGGCGGAGGTGTGTGAGTGGGACATACCTGTGTGTATAACTCCTTGAAGGGATTCTTACATGAGAAGAAATCCAGATCAATGTCCAAGATGTATGGCTCTGTCTCGCTGAGAAACGTAGATATGCTCTTAACAACATAACTGGTGGATCCCACATCATCATCACCCCCCAGGCTTGTCCCATTGTTGCCATCTGCTGGCTGCAGTGTGACAGTGCATCTTAAGAGGGGCTCAGAGCAGCTGGCTTCCCCAGCTGTATCATCCTCTGTACGGGCTCTCTTGGTACCCCATCTCTCGGCATCCGCTTCTGTTTTTATTCCTGAAATGTAACACCCAACAGCACAGAACAGACGTCTATGTTAAACATGTTTTTATCTACCACAAACACCAGAATAATATCATCCCACCAAATGTAAGTAATACATTTCTTTAAGTGAAAAAACTTTTCTACTAAACAACAGCCCTGGGTTAAACGTCAGTTGTCGGGGTTAGAATGTGCCAAGATTGCGCCAGTGTGAAAGCTTTATTAACTCTGGGCTAAGATTGTTCTAAGAATGCTTTTAGCCCTGGGCTAAATGTGAAATGCCCTTAAAGCTGGAGTCTCCAACTCAAACTGGCTTAGGGCCACTGCAACATTCAACACTGTAATAAAGCTCAATATTTCTGAAAATATTTCCATTATTAACATCATTCTTAACAAAAAAATGCAAAGCAAACTGCAGTTACTATATATTTTATATCATGATTTTAAAACGTCTTTTGTTGCAAATGAAGGCCTGAAACCTGCTCTCTGCTCAACTACCTGCAGGTATTTGTGGGACCTTTGACCTTTGGCCATAATTGCACTCTATCGATTAGTCCTCTAATCGGAAGGTTGTTGGTTTGATCGCCGGCTCCTCCGGCCGCATGTCGAAGTATCCTTGAGCAAGATACTGAACCCCAAATTGCTCCCAATGCACAGCATTGGGTGTGTGAATGTGTATGAATGAGTTAGTTTTCGTTCGATGACTTGCCATCACTGGAGTGAATGTTGTTGGAAAGGGTGAATGCTGGCATGTAAGTGCTAAAAGCGCTTGACGTGGTCAGAAGACTAGAAAGGCCGCCTATACAAGCTACAGGTCCATTTACCATTTACGCCAGTAAGTCAACGGGCTGAGAACCAATTCTCATTTACAATGATGACCTGGCCAATAGGCAGCAACAAGAGGAGGCAAAAAAACCCCAATACAGTTAGACAGTTTAAACACAGTATATACATATAGTATGTACACAACAGAGATCCAAGTACTGTGTTCCAGAGTTTAAAAGCAGGCGCAGTGATCAGAAACTAACACATGTACTGAGTTATTAATGGAGGATAACAGAATGAGGGTGTGCCGTTTGAGCGACTTTTGCAACTGGTTCCAGTCACTGGGAGGGGCAGACTGAAAAGAGTGACGGTCGAAGGAGGTACAGACTTTAGGGGTGTCCGTAGTAATGAATATGCTAGAACGCCAATTGACACCAATTTTTCCCCACCATCTCAAAACTCACAAAGCGCTAACATCTTTCCACAGCAGCCAACCTGATGAGGCTGCCTGCAGATGTGTCTGAAGACATTTTTTGTCTAGCACAGACATCGGACGATGCTGATTATCTCAAAATACCAAATAATCAGCCCGAATAATCGGTTAATCACTGGATCTGACGCCTGGTGTGGATTGATGGCCAGTTGACTAGAAAGTACAGATTACAGTGATGAGTGTTGGAAGGGGCACCTGTGACAAAGCGGATGGCGGTGTGGTAGTTCACAAACAAATGTGCAAATTGCAGAAGCTGCAATTTCTTGATAAAGGTAAAATGTGTGACAAACAGTATTACAATCAAGTCTAATCTACAAATCTTGTTCTCCATATTTAAGAAAACATGTTTGTTTGGTACAGACCACCAAAAATGTCATGATCATGATTTTAATAGTTTTTATTTGTGAAAATTTTATTTGTGATGAAAAAATAAATCATTCCCACACTTTATTGCAAAATCTGTCAAAATAGTAGCAATATGATGTTTTTACTGTATTTTTTAACATTTTATAATTGTATATGAAGGGGTAGTTCAAAGTAATATGAAACAAATAGAAAAAATAATTAAAATCTTGCAAGGTGGATTATTTTATATTTTTTAACATCATGTCGCAAGGCGGAGGGAGGAGGATGGAGTGCTGGAAATGGCCCCCGATGTGGGCAGTTTGGGATCCCTGCCTTAAAGACACCCACTCCCAAAGACTCCCAGGCGGATGAGTGGGGTATTTTACAAAAATTGTAATTGTATTGTAATCATTTGAATAATGTAGCTGCCCCTATGCGTTTACATTAAAGAAAATGATTTTTAATAAATGACGTAAACAATTGTGTGGTGGATTTACCAGAAATAAAAATAGCAAAAGATAAAATGTTTTTTAAAATATCGATATCAGTATTAGGCTCAGAAATCCAGTATCAGTCAGGCTATACTTCAGAAGGCTGCAGGAGAACTGAAGGAGAATTTTTTCATACAGTTACAGAATGTAACAATCCCTCATATTCATTTATGACATCAATGCACTAGTTTACTGCTGTTCCGGCTTCACCCACATTATTTTGAAACCTCACAGTAGTTTCAGCTAAACTTTAGAATTCATTTTTGTAAAGAACAAGGACTGTGGAGTCGTGTTAGGTAGGGATAACTTCAAGGCCAGCACGGACAGAGAGAATTATTACAAATAACTTTTTCAGTGTTGAATTAAAATAGAGCTATCATTTGAAGAAGGGAAAAAGGAGACACTCATGTAAGAGATGAAGGTTTCAACATATTCCATTAGGGCTTAGCAAGTATTTTATGAGGTAGGAACGTATTCAGCATGTTTGCTAGGCTTTTTAAATTCTAAAAAGGAGCGCGATTATTTTTTATACTCTGTAAATTCTCGTGTTTTGCAGAAAGCTGGTAATTTTTAACAATGTCTCTTTCCCGCAGGGGCCTGCATTCACTATTTCCTCTTGGTGATCAGAGTGAGTGCCTTAAAAGCATTGCACATTGTAATTTCGCAGCTCTGGTCCCAATGACACTGCCACGTTGTTTTGGCACTGAGAGAGGAATCAATCACTTGAGTGCTGGAGAATGAGTGATAAGAGTCAGCGGCTGCTGTATTCAGGCACCAACAAACAAATCTTAAAAACTTGAAAAGGACCCTGACAAGTCCAAATGAGACACACCTGATGGAACCCAGACAGCATTACATGCATGAACTCTTCAAACATCCTGGAAACGAGTTTAAAAAGTTACCACTAATAACAATAATAAGCGGTTATTATCATTTTATGTAACAAACGCTATGTGTAATGCGTTACCACATGCTCGTGTATCCTCACTCCCGAGACTCCTTCATAAAAACATTCCTCTAACTAAGCTCAATCGTCTCTGGCACAAAAACATCTCTGGTTGGATATCAAAGTAATGCAGCTTCTAACGTCCTGACTACAGTACAGTACACACCTGAAGTTGACCTGTGACTGGCTTTGACGGGGTTCACTTTGACCACATTCAGTCTGAGAGGTTGAGGGTTCTCCAGCTGCTCCTCAGAAACATACAGACCATCACTGAGGAAGTAGTTGTCTGTGCTGGTCACCCTGCAGAGGGACAGAGAGAGGAGCTGGACTTCATGACAAACCAAAGAGAAACAACAGGGAGAAAGTCGGTAATTTCATTTAAAAGGCCCTTCACTTCCACATATGCCCTGTTTGTTTTGTAGTGTAATATAATATAATATAATATAATATATATTAACCTGTTAAACCC